ACAAAAATCAATTGAAGTAAATCCCGAATCTGCCGATAAACTTATAAAATGCATATGCCTGTTGCATAACATTATAATTGATAGAGAAGGAGAGCAGCAAGTAGCATGTACATTCGAGCAAATCCATGATCAAACACATTCAAGAACGGGAAGATTTGGAACCTTGGGTGAAAACAGAGGCACCAGTTCAGCTTATGATATCAGAGATAAATTTAAAACTTATTTTTCATCTCAAGAATTGTATAATGCATGATTTAAAATCAATAAAATATTCAAATACATTTCGGATTTCACTGAGCCTTATATGCCTTTGCTACATTATAAACAACAAAGACAAATATTTTGTTTGTTTGCAAATATATCATACCTGAGACCCAAATTTGATTTAACTTACCCTTAGTATTCATTTCAACTGCCACTTCTTGCCACAATTTTCTCTGTATGTCTCTCATGTGATATGATTTGTCGGTCATATCCCACAGAGGCTTTTTTTCATAAATGAAAGTAATTAATTTTTCAACATCCATCTCGGTCTGTTACAACAAATCGACTATCAATTCGTCATAACAACTGCGAACAATCCCATTTGTTTCGGATAGATCGCACATCGCATGTTTTCGTCCGAATTCGTACGAAGCAGTTCGGACGCAGTGTACGAGCTTCAATAGGTTTCAATGAAACGGGATGATTCGCACTTCTTCGTCCGATTTCTGACGAAGGCAATTCGGACGAAAACGCATCCAAAGGACGACCGGCCTAATAGTTCAATTACTTATACAAGATGTTCAAAATTGTTTCCATTTACTGCAATGCAAGCATGGGTGCGTCTAATCCAATTTCGGCGTACTAATTGTAATACATCTTCTTCCTGTTAATTCTGAAGCCTCAAATTATCGGCAGCCAATGTGATTCGGTCACGCATTCATCAATATTCTGAACTGGAGTACTTCGTTTTTCAAGTATCCCCATAGAAATTTTGAGAAAACAACTTCTTTCATAACAGTGCATATGTGGTTAGAATTTGTCGGATAAGTTGTGAAACACCCTGTATACAGTATCGGTCAAAAAATAGTGGACACTTGTTATTGCCTTTAGAAACACTCCATAAGATGGTAGGGACTCCATAAGGTAGAGGTGCAATATTTTCGTTTCGTTCTTGTTCTGGTTTGTAGTTAATTTATTTTATAATTGAACCACAAAAGGGCGTTTCGTTTGAATTCGTCAAAAATATGTTAGAAGTCTAAATGAAAATATGTCAGAATAAAATCACTTTTAAAATCAACGAAAAAAACAGGTAAAAATAACAATTTTTTAATATTTAGTGGCATAACCTTTTGCCTTAATGACAGCCTCACATCTTCGAGGCATGGAATCCACCAAATTTTCTAAAATATTGAGTGGAATTCGTTCCCACTCTTCCTGAAGCACTTTCATAATTTCGCCGGTTTTTGAAAATGTTCGAGCCCGAATTTGCCGATCCAAATGCTCCCACAGATGTTCTATCGGATTCAAATCCGGACTCTGCGATGGCCAGACGATTTTTCTCGCCCCATTGACATGTATCCATTCCTTCGCAAGCTCTGAGGCATGTTTAGGATCATTATCGTCCTGGAAAAGCCAGTCGTCCGCCATCTTTCTTTGGCATATGGTAACATATGTTGTTGTTGTTGTTTTTATGCGGGCGGTCTTTCCAGCCCCGTGACCACCTAGATCTAATGATCCTCTGTAGTTTCCCGCTGTTTCCCAAGGTCACTGATTCTGCCATGCCCTTGTGTTTTTGAGATCGCTAGGATCTAATGAGGTCCTTCCCCAGGTATTATACCTGCGCAAGGATAATGCTGGACAGTGACACAGTATGTGTATGCTGTCCTCATCAGCCTCCCCACATAGACGGCATGTTTTCTGCTCTACTATTTTGAGGCGGTATAGGTGCGCTCTGAGTGCTACGTGTCCTGTGAGTAGTCCAAGCGTTTTGCTCAGCCTGTCACGGTCCATAGCCCAGAGCTCGGTTGCCCTTTCTTTTGAGGGTGTTTCCATGAGCTGTTTGGATACCCTACAGCCTGTCGAGTTCCTCCATCGAACGAGATGTTCCCTTTCTAGGAGTTTGTTTAGGTATTGTTTACCTTGTAACATATGTTACTCGAGAATGTTTTTTTACATATCGGCCTTCATAATGCCCTCAATCCTTATCAGTGGACCTACCCCATCTCTGCTGAAGCAACCTATATGCATATATAATGTTAGGATGACTAAAAATTTACATGTGACAAAATGAGGGAATTTACCCCAAACCATAACGCTTCCTCCACCATGCTTAACCGTAGGTATTTGGTACTTGGGATTGTTGCGAGAACCAATAGGTCTCCTAACATACCGTATGCCATCGCTAGAAAACAAATTAAATTTGCTTTCGTCACTCCACAAGACGCGACCCCAGTCAGCCACTGACCAATCAAGGTGTTCTCTGGCAAATTTCAAGCAAGCTTGGACATTCTTCCTTGATATTATACTTCATCCATCGAACCAACGGTGTAAGCAAAACAAGGTTAGACGCGTGATCATCAAGCACATTCGCATCTATTGGGTAAAATAAAAAACCTTACGCTGACCAATCACTGATGATCACGCGTTGATCCAGCGTCTAAACTTGTTTTAGTTATTCCATTGCTTCGATGGATGAAGTATAGGAGTTTTTTAGAAGGCTTAGCAGCGATAAGCCCAGTACGTCTAAAATTTACCAAATAAGTCTTGTAACCACCTGGAAATTAAAAATAATACCGAATAATCCGCTGAGCCGTCGAAGTGGAGATGGTAACTCCATAATTTTCAGCGGCTGCCCTTCGCACATCGGTGCTGTTTTTTCGGGCATCAGCTTTAATTTGACGAACTAATGTTCGACAAACACGTTCTCCAACTTTAAATGGTCGGCCACTTCCTTTTTTTCGTTCTGTCATTCCCGTACTCTTCCATTTTCTATGGATCGTTGAGACGCAGGATTTACTAACACCAAAGCGCGATGCCACCTCACGAACACTTGCACCTTCTTCAATTTCACGAACAAGCAATTTCTTAACATCAGCAGATAAAAGTTTTCTACTCATGATCCACTTAACATAAGATGTGCACTATCATAGATAATAGATTTATAAGGGGTTTAGAATGGACACTCATGTACTACCAAATGAATTAACGTAAAAGTGCCATCTATTATTGTGGAAAGAAATACGTGTAGTAAATATGACATAAACTTTAAAAGGAAACTGTTTCTTAGGTAGGAATGCAAGGTTGATGGTTTTTTTGGCGCGAATTTCCAATTTAGCCATTTTTTAAATTACTCATTTTAAAGTTATTTAATAATGTGCAAGTGATGCTTCTGGCAGATCTATCTTAACAGTAGCGTTGAAATGTATTTTTTAAAGTTGTTATCACGATAAGGTCACCATAAGCTTTCCAGCCAATATTAAACCAACCTTGAAGGAACAATGTATATTATTAGAAAAAAACACACAAAAATACAAATAAAATAATATATTACAATGCATAGACAAGACTAATAAATAATAAGGAACTAACTATAATAAAGTTAATAATACCTACAAATGCCCGGTTTCTCGACTCTGCGATAACTAAAAGTTAACCTTTCAATAGTTAACTTTTCAGTGTTGTTAAAACTACTTTGTATAATGTAGTCAACTACAATTATAACTACTTGTAAAAAATCTAATTAAATACATAGTTGAATACATTTTATTCTAAAGCATTTAACTACGTATTTAACTATCGGAATTGTAGTTAAAAGTATTTAAACTAAATTTGAAAGGAAAAAATTCCACGAATTGTGGCATTTACTTTCAATTTAAAATAAGCTCGTTTCCAATACGGGCAAGGAAATCTATATAAGCTTTGTAGATTAGATCGAAACAACAATTCAGGTATCTATTTAAATAATTAATATTTTTTGAGGATAAAATGATTTTGTTGATCTATGAATTTCGCTCGTTGAATCAACACACTCTATAGTAACGCTATTGGTCAGTATTGCAAATAAACCCATCTCATAAAGTTATTTTCCCTAGTATTATTAGCGTTCGTAGCGACAAAATTCCATGAATTTAACTCTAATTTAAAATAACTTCGTTTCCAATAAAGCAAAGGAATTTATATAAACTTTGATCGTAAATAACAATTCAGGTACCAAATAGAGAAACAATAAATGATTTGAAAATGTATTTAAATAATGTAGTTAAATACTACAAAAATGTATTTAAATGTATTTAAGAGTCCGGACTTACAAAAGTAGTTAGTTGGTTATTTAAATACTTTAAAAGTAGTTGAACTACATTTTAACTACTTGTAGTTAACTACTTAACAACACTGTAACTTTTCAATAAACTCCAGTAAACCTTCGGAATCGGGTTTCTCGACTCGAAATCCAAGTTTAAGTATGCAACAACTATTACGTTAACCCCTCCCCAGTTCAGTTAACTTCTCAATAGTAAGCGATAGTTAAACGCGATATATCTCCCTACTCTAACATTAATCTATTTTTGTCTTGGGCCTTTCTTCTTTTAATAGTATTGACCTGCAATTGTTTGGCCATTTGAAAAATTTTGGAGGAAGTTTTGGGAACAGGCCTTTGATCCACGCCTTTTATAATTTTGTTTAATTGTCCACAATAATTGAACAAATTAACTTCGATGAAATACTTAAAAATATTTCTTTTTATTACAAAGCACTGTTAATGTGTGATTAATAACATTTTTTTATGCAAATCTCTATTAAAAATATGTTTGATGATAGAAAGAGCATATTTCATTTTTTCTAAAAATAATGAACTTACATACTTTAATGATATTTTCGGGCCCTATACTCTTTAAACTTTACAAACTCTTCATGCTCAAAATCTTGAGATTTCGTTTGTTTAAGGAACAAGTCTTTACATTCACATGGCTGTTTGCCAATTTTCTTGATCAAGTATCCAAACACATATTTTAAAACCTCTATTGTTTTAATAGAGCTGGACAGATTTTCAGGAATTTTCGAAAATTGTTCAGGGCACTGCTCTTCTTCATCTTCAGGTAAACCCTAAGAAAAAAATTCCTATACAAATTCCTATACAAATTATTAGCTTCTTACCTGAGCATGATTAGCAATTTCTTCACTTTTTCTGAAACCAAAGTCTTCAAAACCTTCAACAGTGCCCTCTGATAGGTTTGGCTGCAAATTTGGTTGAAGGCTTATTTCGACATTAGAAGACAATATTTGTCTAGGGGGTTTTTAAAATTTTTTGTTTCTGCTTTCAGAACTGTAAGAATCTCGTAGTGCAGATCTGCTCTTTTTGGGATTCTGCCGAGTAGTTTCATCACTGTTTTTCTTGATGGCAATGCAAATAATTTGAATAAAAATCCATATCCAACTCGACTTTGTTTGTACAGAGCCAATGCCAAAACCTTGTCTTCAAGAGAATATCGTCTTCCCTTTGGTTTCTTCTCTGCATTCTCTAATTGACTTTGAAAAAACCTAGATCTAATTCTGAAACAAAAAATTCTCACCAATGTAAGGGGCAAATGGTATCACATGTTCTTGCAGGATCTCCCTTATGTACCTATCTGCTGTTAAACTACCATTATTAATAACCACCAAGTCAGTACGAGCAGTTAATGAGATTCCTCCAAAGTGAGTAGACCTTGCAGGTATAAACTTCAAATTTAAACCTTCTTGTATAAGTTCATGTGTTATTTCATCAGACGCTTGCCTTAAGTATTGCTAGCACCAACGAAGTTAGTTTCGTTATCAGAATAAATTATTGACGGTTTACCACGTCTTGAAATAAATCTACGCAGCACGGCTATAAAAGACTGTGGTGAGGTCTCCCACTAATTCCAAATGCAATACTTTTGTAGACATGCAAACAAATAGGCAAACATACGCCTTTACCAATTTATATTTTTTTGTAACAATATCCTTTAAATTGAAGGGGCCTGCCTAGTCTACGCCAGAATGAAGAAAGGGTCGGGAAGGTGTGATCCTAATAGTAGGTTATACACCCCTTAAAGGTTGAACTGATTTACAATTGAATCTACACCGTGATACATTCACGAGTTATCTTCCTGGCCATATTTCTGCCATCTAACAGCAAATATCTTTCCCTCAAACTAGACAAAACTGCATGAGGTCCAATAGCTATTTAGTTTACGATGCTCAGCAATAATCAAGAGTTTTGATAGCATGTGTCCTTTAGGAAAAATCATTGGATGTTTCTTGGAGTAGATATTGGCAGAATATTGTCACGTTAAGGGTTCGTCTTGCCCTGATATTCAACCAGACTGAAGGCTGCATCTTTTAAGACACTACTTCTAACCTTGTTTAATATTATCACATAGTAAAGGATAAGGGCACACACAGAGAAATTGATACTTTAGACAAGTATATAAAACTTAAAACTAATAAACGATAAGTTTGTATATCCGCAAGTTTATTGTATATTTCTCTTAAGTTTATCATTTAATTGATATATAGACTACAGACAATAATTTAATATACTTCAAACAATAACCTTAGCTCAACTGAAGTAAAACTTTACTCGATCTATACACTTGAAATTAAGAAAAATATACTTCAATTAAGTAGTACGAATACTACAAACAATGAAATGTAAAACTAGAATCAAATTTTATCATTCTTTATTTTAGTAATTAATATGGTACATGTAAGTAAATAAAAACTTGAACTGAGTAAATTGTAATTTTTAATTGAATATATAATTTATTTACACGAAGCTTAGTAATAACTGATGTTAAGCAACTAGATATAAATAATCAATAATTTGAAACAAATATATTTTTTCCTTTGGTCCCGTGGCTGTTAGTAAATGACCTAGCAGTTGCAACTCTTTGCAGAATTTGGAATCTGAAATGAATTACATTACATTTAATTAAAATAATTATTTTTTTAGGCTAAATGAGTTGACTTACCTTCTTCGAATGTCTCTATAGTTCCTCAATTTGAATAATGATATTTTCCTTGTTCTTGAACAAAGGGCGCTTTATTTCCAAAATTTTTTTGAAAAAATTTTTCCAATGTTGTAGAGGATTTACACCTCGTCCAGGAAAGAGTCAATCAAAGTCCATCGATCTAAAAATAATTATTTAAACTTTGTTATGCAAAACTATAGGTACTTGGAATAAATCTTACCATAACTTATTGACCTGGTATCCTTCAAAATGGGCCACTTTTCTATAAATTCGGAAGCACATTTCCAGTCTTCAATAACTTCCTCCAACGGATCCTTTCTAAATACGATTCGTCTGTTGATTTTGATAAATCTGTAAAAAATCAATTTTGTATAGATATTTATGACATCTATCTATTAATTTAATTTAATTTCCATCCCATTTTGCATCACAAAACGTGAAATATAGGCATCATTAATATGGCGCCAACATTTTGTCACGTGTCATTTTTGTCTTTAATGGTTTGTAAAATAAAAGGTTGCACTTACCTTCAAATCTAGGAATTAAATGAGGACATCCCATTTCTTCTAATATACAGAGTTGGGCAAAAGTCCGGAATAAAATTATTATCTTTTGAACCAGTAATTTAAACAAAAAACGCCGAAACACGTAAATTGATTTTATATTGTACGGATTTGTTGCCAATAAAATGATTTTTTTTTCTTCAACCCCTTAGTTGCAACCCTACCCAACTTTATTTTTTCAAATGCAAAGGTATGTCGTGTGTAGGGTCATTGAAAAGCCCGTGAAAAATGGAATCTAAAACATACCTTTTTTTTTTATTTTTCTCATGTTGTTATTTGGAAATGAGCAAAAATTTCTTTTAAAAACAAAAAAGTTACAAATACCTTTTTAGTGCTATCGACGTAGCAATGTTGAAAATGCCCTTCACCATCTACTTGACAGGCTCCCAGCCGTTGGTAAAACTTAATATCGATAGCATATCTTTAATTCTGAATGACTTTTTAATAAAAACAGGCGAACCTTTGGTAAAAAAAAACTTGTACAAAAATGCAACACCTGTTTTCCTTTTTGAAGTTCACTGATCAACAATGGCTTAGATTTAAACCCATTTTATGTTTTTGTTTTTTCTTAAAACATAAATTTCAACGAATGTTGTTGCTAAATTGCCTTATCAGTTTTAAACGGTAAATCAATAAAATTTGGTGTGCTGCCTGACCAGGCTCGCCTGCTTTTAATAAAAGTTCATTCAGAATTAAAGATAGGCTACCGATATTAGGTTTTACCATTGCCTTGGAGCCTGTTAAGTAGAGTAAGCCTTAATTCACACGTCGATACCACTAAAAAAGTATTTGTAACATATTTGTTTTTAAAAAAATTTTTTGCTCATTTCCAAATAACAACATGAGAAAAATAAAAAAAAAAGGTATGTTTTAGATTCCATTTTTCACGGGCTTTTCAATGACCCTACACACGACATACCTTTGCATTTGAAAAAATAAAGTTGGGTAGGGTTGCAACTAAGGGGTTGAAGAAAAAAAATCATTTTATTGGCAACAAATCCGTCCAATATAAAATCAATTTACGTGTTTCAGCGTTTTTTGTTTAAATTACTGGTTTGTTGTTGTTGTTGTTGTTTTTATGCGGGCGGTCTTTCCAGCCCCGTGACCACCTAGATCTAATGATCCTCTGTAGTTTCCCGCTGTTTCCCAAGGTCATTGATTCTGCCAGAGGTCGCAAGTATTTGCAAACCTCAGCAGTTCGGATGCCCTTGTGTTTTTGAGATCGCTAGGATCTAATGAGGTCCTTCCCCAGGTATTATACCTGCGCAAGGATAATGCTGGACAGTGACACAGTATGTGTATGCTGTCCTCCTCAGCCTCCCCACATAGACGGCATGTTTTCTGCTCTACTATTTTAAGGCGGTATAGGTGCGCTCTGAGTGCTACGTGTCCTGTGAGTAGTCCAAGCGTTTTGCTCAGCCTGTCACGGTCCATAGCCCAGAGCTCGGTTGCCCTTTCTTTTGAGGGTGTTTCCATGAACTGTTTGGATACCCTACAGCCTGTCGAGTTCCTCCATCGAACGAGATGTTCCCTTTCTAGGAGTTTGTTTAGGTATTGTTTACCTTCTGCAAAGGGCATTCCAACTATCTGCCTACCAGGTTGCTCCATGGCCCCCTCTCTGGCTAGATTATCGGCTACCTCATTGCCTTCTATTCCCTGATGTCCAGGGATCCAAATTAGAGTCACTACATTCTCAGCCCCTAACCTGGCGAGGTTCTGCATGCAGTCCCGCACCACGGCGGAGACCGTGGTGTTTTTCGCCAGTGCCTCTAGGGCAGCGCGGCTATCCGAATAAATATTTATTCGGGAATGTGTGGCTCCATTATTTATGAGATGCTCTGCACATCTCAGTATAGCAAATACTTCGGCTTGGAAGACCGAAGCATGTTCACCCAGGGATATGCTCTCCCTGTAGTTGGTATTTTGCCCGTAGATGCCCGATCCATGGCGGTCCCCACACCCCGAGCCATCGGAGTACCAGTTTTCGCCCTGATGTTCCATCAACGGTTTTTGTTCCTTCCAGTCTTCTCTGGTTGGTATTTTTACCCTATAGGTGTGTTCAATCATAACCTGTTTAGAGGTTCTGTCTTGTCTTAATGTAAAAGGTGTGTTTCGAAGGACATGTATCCTGGTATGTCCAGTTCCATTTTCCTTCCACTCCCCTTGACATTTCATTCTGTATGCTGTCTGCCGGGCGACATTTGTCACTTTTAGGTCCAGGGGTGGAATATTGAGCGCTATTTCTAGCGCGTCAATTGGTGTGGTTCTCATGGCCCCTGTCGCAGCCCGCAGGTAGTTACCTTGCAGGCTTCTTAACAGGTTCCGATTCCCCACCAATTCTACCCTGGGCCACCAGACTACTGCAGCATACAGGAATCTTGGTATTAATACCGTTTGGTATAGCCAAAGAGTTACCCTAGGTTTTAATCCCCAGGTTTTTCCTATGGCTCTTCTACAAGCCCACATTGTGCTGTAGAATTTTTTCCTCTTTGTTTCGAGGTGGGTGTTCCAATTCAGTTTTGTATCTAGGTGGACTCCCAGATATTTGACTGTATTGGAATAAGGGATCTCCACCCCCCAAAGCTGTAACGGCTTTGTTGGTTGGAGTTTGTATTTCCGGGTGAAGATTACTGCTGCTGTCTTTTCTGGGTTTACCATCAAGCCAACAGCAGCGCACCAGTCCTCTACGATTTTCAGGGCATTCATAATGATGTCCCTGAGTGTTGGTAGGAAGTTTCCTCTGGCTATTATGGCTATGTCATCTGCATAGCCGAATACCGAGAGTCCTGCTTCTGTGAGTTTTGCCAGTAGTTCATCCACCACTAAGCACCACAACAGAGGTGAGAGTACTCCTCCCTGCGGGCACCCGCCGGTTGGACGTCCTGTTACCTGGTCGGTTCCCATGCTTGTTGACAGTTTCCTGCCTCTAAGCATGGCCTGCGTCCAGTCAGTGAGGGTTTCGGGTATCCCTCTGCTGACCATTGCTTTTTTTATGGCTACATTAGAGGTGCTATCAAAAGCCCCTGCAATGTCCATAAATACTCCTATTGCATATCCTTTAGACTCTAGTTGCGCCTCTACCTTTCCCACTAAGTGGTGTAAGGCGGTCTCCGTGGACCTCCCTGCTCTGTACGCGTACTGAGAGGGGGCCAGGGGGCGCGCTGCTAGAGTCCTATGCTTGATATACGTATCCACCAGTCTTTCCAGAGTCTTCAAGATGAAGGAGGAAAGGCTGATGGGACGGAAGTCTTTGGCCAGTAGATGACCGTTTCTTCCAGGCTTTGGTATGAAAGTAATTCTACTTTCACTCCACGCTCTGGGGACGTGTCTGTGGGCTATGCTAGCCCTCAGTATTCTTGTTAACGGGCCTAAAAGGTCCGTGAGTCCTTCCTGTAACAGTATGGGATAGATTCCATCCGGTCCAGGAGCCTTGTATTTGTCGAATGTCCTTACGGCCCACTCGACTCCTTTAGGCTTTACAACCTCTGCCGCCAGAGTCCAATTCCTAGGCTTACGTTCAGCCCCGTATTGTGTCTCCTCGGTTGGTAGGTTGTTGGTGTCTTCTCTGAATCCTGGGAAATGTGTTTCCATCAGTAGATTCAGTGAGTCCTTCATTGTTTCTGTATATTCTCCATCCGGTCTTTTCAAGCATCCCAGGTTTGGAGTGGTTGTTCTGCCGAGTGCTTTGGCCAGTCTCGATACCTCTGATGAGTTCTCTACACTGGCACAGTATTCCCTCCAGCTTTTCTTTTTAGCGGCGTTTATAGCCGCTTTAAATTACTGGTTTAACAGATAATAATTTTATTCCGGACTTTTGCCCAACCCTGTATCATTAAACTGTATCTCCATTCTCTTAGGTCCGCTTGCCATTATGCTAATTTCAGTACTGATTTTAGTACTAAAAATATTAGTTAGTTGCGCGAGACGATTTAGTATTAAAAATGTGGGTGTGTGACAGTTTGTGTTTGCAACTGCCTTAATTTTATTTAGTATGTAGGCATGCGTTCTAACAATTTTGTATTTTGTTTTGTACTGATAACATAACCTAACTTAGGAGTAGGGTTTTTGTGTTTAATGAAATACGTAAGTAATGATGGCAAAAAAGAAGCTAAAATTATGTGCAGCCACTTTAATTGTTTTAATGGTGCTAGCAATTAAGAAAAGAAATCAAACACTTCTTAAAAAAAAGCGTATATGGAGAAAAAAATGGATTGAGAGAAGAGGATTAGGCAAAGGAATATTAAATATGTTGAATGAAGAATTATTAGTCGAAGACCCTTTGGCATATAAAAACTTTTTACGAATGAGTAATACTTTGTTTGAAAAATTGTTAGGACTAGTTGAGAATAAGATAAAAAAACAGGATACGCAATTTAGAGAAAGTATTTCAGCAAGATGCAGGTTTGTATATCATATAATAAATATCATATTATATTTAGATGTATAAATTTGATGACTTCTTCTGTTATTTAGGTTGGAAACTGTATTAAGATTTTTGGCAACTGGGCAAACGTTTAGATCATTAATGTATTCAACTCGAATACATGAAAGTAGCATTTCGAGGTTTGTACCTGAGGTTTGTGAAGCTATATATGACAGTTTGAAAGAAATTTTTTTGAAGGTAATTTATTTAAGCACGAGATAAAATTATGAAAACTATAACTAGCATTATTTTTAGACCCCAATGTCTTGTAAAGAATGGTTAAATGTTGTTAAAGGATTTTAAGAAATGTGGCAGTTTCCCAACTGTATTGGTGCTTTGGATGGAAAACATATAATGTTTAGACCTCCAATATCTGCTGGTTCATATTATTACAACTATAAAGGGGATCATTCTATTGTTTTATTAGCTATGTGTGATTCGGCTTATAAATTTACCTATTATAATGTAGGAATAAATGGCCGCATAAGTGATGGCGGTGTTTTCCGAGAAAGTAATCTGTGTGGGGCCCTAGAAAATAACTCTTTAAATTTACCTCCAAATCGGGCTTTACCCAGTCGTACATCAAAAATTCCCTTTGTATTAGTTGCAGATGATGCATTTCCGTTAACCAGTAGAATTATGAAACCATATCCTAACAGGGGATTGTCAGAATCTCAAAAAATATTCAATTATCGACTCTCTAGAGCACGTCGAATGATTGAAAGCTCATTTGGTATCTTGGCTAACAGGTTTAGAGTATTGCTTAATCCAATAAATTTAAATGCAGATAAGTAGATAAAATTATTTTGGCTTGTTTAGCGTTGCATAATTTGTTAGTTTCAGAGAATGTTAAAGCATATGTAGAGCAAGATGATTCACACGTTATGTTTTCAAATAAATTAAGTAATCAAGCAGGTAATCGTTCGACGGCTAAAGCCCATAATATAAGAAATGAATTTAAAGAGTATTTCAACTGACAGTGGTTCAGTTAATTGGCAAAATGCTGCCATTCAGAGATTTAATAGGTAAAAAATTTATATGTAGATCTTTATACAGGGTGACCCAGGGTCGCGTTAAAGTCCCATAACTTTTTACCTAATTGAGATATCGACTTGATTTTTTTTTCAAAAGGTAGGTACAATAATACTGCATATTATTAAAATAGTTTCGTCTATATACAGGGTGGCTCAGTATTAGAAATTCACTAAAGTTACCACCTTTTTTTAATGGAACCCCCTATATATTATAACATTTTTGAATTCTTTAGTGAATTTTAGTGTGACTTTATGTACCATACATTGTACCTAAAACCAATCGTTTAGTGGTAATTCGACATTTTCGAAAAAAGTAGAGGTTTGAAAAAAAATGAATATTGCCGCTTTTGTAAAACTTAGAAGGTCGTGACTCTGGGTTATTAGTAAACATGAAATGTACTACTGTGTGACATGGATTCAGAATTGAATACTGTTTGTGTTCTTAGATATCGATAAGCAAATTTACAAAATTTCAATTAAAGGTAACTTGATTTTTTTAAATGAAACTACCTACTTTTTTGTACACCATCTTGTAGGAAATTTTATTGCCTTTCTAACGATATAACATTGTCAATATTTTTACCTGCTAGTTTTCTTTTAATTCCGGAATTTCTTATAATTCGCGGTATTAAATCTCTATTAAAAATATTTTAAATTTTAATTTGTTTATTGAAATTTAAATAAAACACAAAATACAGATTTATGAATTTTTACTTCTGAAACATTTTTTTCTGGCATCCCAAATAATATTTGTTATTTGTTGTTGTGTTTCTAATAATGTCTCTTCATCAGACATCAAAAATTCTAATTGACTCTCTACAAATTCTGCAAATATTTTTAAATTAGTTTTTGTTGCCGGAGGAGTCTCCACAGTTTTTTGCTGCTCTTCATTTGCTAGAGCATTTGTTAAACTTGACAAAACATCAGTCGCTTGATTAAAAAAAATCTCCCATCGTCAGGTTTACTCCTTTTTTTAATTCTTTTTGTGATACTATCACTTCCATGGCTGCTGTTTCTACTTGTTGAAGGGGTTGACACATTCTGTGATAAAGAAGAACTCGGAGTTGCTGTATCAGGTCTTATTATTTGAACATTATGAACTTTAATTCTCTTTGTCTGATTCAGCTCCACAACGTCCTCACTGTCCTCTTGTCATTCCTGAATAGAATTAAAAAATAACTGTTATTTATAATTTCAAGCTAAAATTGCAGATAGTTTATTACCAACTCATAATTATCTTCCAGTTTAAAAATTTCACTTTCAGTGTTCTCATCTTGATTTTGACTATAATCAAATTCGTTTTCGTCTAAACACTCCATGTTAACATTGTCATGGGCTGGTAAGATTGGTAAAGACGGAAGACTGTCCTGTGAGCATCTAGGTATGCAATGCTCCGCTACGAATAACATTTTTTCGTAATACCATAGCGAAGGTTTGTCAATCTAACAAAATAAAATTATAAAAGAACTATTATAATGTTTTAAAACATCAAATTAGCCCGGCAAATATAGGCATGAAAACGGCATACCTAGTGTAATAGAGGTATTACTTACATCATCGCTACCAGCTCCGCTTTTTACAGATGACAAATATTTTCTATGCTGTAGTAAAAAGTTTGTCCGTAAATTGCTAAATTTGGCTTTTATTTCTGCCACAGATGCATCTGCACCTAGTTTGGATAATTCCGCCTTTATGTCTTCCAATGCTTTATTTCTTGCATGTCTGTTTTTATACATCGAATGTTTTGGAACATATAAACACGGATTTGCTTTATAAAGTTCAATCAAACTCTCTATTTGTTTATGACTCCACATCTCCACCAGTTTACCGTACACAATCTAAGCATAACCTCACTTTTATTTGACATTTCACATTTCATGGTTTTTAGAACAAGAAATTAGAACAAGCTCTAATTTTTAGTACTGAATCAGCGCGCGCATCTAATTTGTAGAGAAAATATTTTTAGAACTAAAATTAGTACTGAAATTAGCATAATGGCAAGCGGACCTTAATCTCCATAACTTAATACAGATAGCTACATAAATCAAATACACTAAACTATCCATACAAAAACGTACACCGCAAATACCGATGTAGTACATCTCATCCCTAATTCCTACGAACTAAACAAGTCCGTTCTTAATTTTGTTAAAACAACACAACAGACGTTAAAGAAATTAGTGGGGATTGTCGGCTGGGGTATACTCTCTTTTCAAGTATATCATAAACTTGAGACAAAGTTAATTCGAATAAGTAAATCAATAACTTAAATCAAATTCATTTGATACTTTTCATATAAGTAAATTATTTTCTTGATTATCACTTTTTGATTCATTGAACTGAGAATAACTTTAAACTTATTTTAAGAATAAAAAGAACAAGTATATTAATTTCTTCAATTAAGAAAATTTACTTCTCTCGCCCCTTTCATTACAAGTAAATTATTTAGTTGGGTGGAGTCAATAAAATTTTAGTATCATTTTAAAATTAGATTTGACTGTTGGTAATATTTTATGAATTCTAGCATGTTTACTTTGAAACTCTTTGTTAATTTTAGTTATGATTTTTAAAATGTGACTGTGAAATGTGAAATAAACTTTAAAGATACAATTTTGTAGATCCAACAAAATTTGCTTTGCGCCAAAAACATTTTCTACAAGAACCTCATTCTGGAAATATAAAATCAAGGCATCCCTTTGTTCTAAAATTCGATCAACGACTGAATTTAAAGATTAACCTTCTTGTCTGCGATAATTTTAGAAGTTTATGAGGCTTTATATTACAAAAATTTTGAAATTCAGTCAAGGTAGATTGCCGTTTTGCTGAATGTGGAAAATAATTGTAGACGTTTCTGGCCAATGTTTCAATTTCATCTGGCAACATTTCACAAGCATTAGATGCTATTAAATGAAAAGAATAAGCCAAACAACCAATAGTAAAAAGATGAGGTTGAAGATTAAGTAGCCTTGCTTTTACCCCAGTTAAATGTCCCATCATGACTGAGGCATTATCGGACACAAATCCTGTTAGGTTATTAAAAGGAACCTCATTTGAAGCAAAAATTTCTTGAATCTTAAGAAAAATACCCTCAGCAGTGGAAGAGGGTAACTCGGCAAGACCAAAAAAGTAATCTTTGGTAGATTCCTCGGCTACACAGTATAATCGAACCAATAATATTAAACATTTTTTGTCAGACACATCAGTTGTCTCGTCAATAATTAAAGAAAAAAATGATTTTTTTAATATTTTACTTATCACAAATTTTAAATATGGGCCTAACATGTCATTAACAATGCTGGTAGCTTTGGTTCTAGAACATTTAATGGATTTAATGGATCTCCGAATCTCTGTCTAAAAATGACAATAATTGAGGCAGATGGTCAAATAAAAGAAATGGAAGATTATGTTCTACTGCCATCATACATAATTTTAGTTCTGCAATCATAACCTTTTTACTCAAGATATTTGTTGGATGATTTCCAAGTATTGTCCAAGTATTTTGTCTCATATATCTTTTTCTTTTTTTTGGTATAATCTCACTGTCCTCATCACTTTTATCTGAATTTTCTGAGCTCATTTCTTTCTCACTCTCCTCATATTCATACTCCTCATTGCTGGTTAACGTTTCAACTACATTTTTTAATTTACACTTATTGGCTGACGTTGAAGGCTGACGATCATCATCGGAAGCTTTTTTGAAAGTTTCTGTACTTTGACTTGATGGTAATAATTTTTTTTATTAGATTTGTCTTGCGAAATTCTAATCTAACAGCAAACTAATGCCTACTTATTTGTCCATGGCATCGATTAATTCTATAATATTCTGTTTAGTCTACTTAATAAAACAAATTCACAAAACACAAGAAATCTTTACACTACAACGATAATATTGAATAAAATAGCAAAATTGGCAAATCAGTAAAATGAAACTAAAATAGCAAACATGAAACTGACGAAACCCGGGAACGGCGGGAACCCCATTGCACTTACATTGAGATTTTACTGACATCTAGCTAATGAAAAATTAAACATGCAAACCGCTTCAACTAACGAGATACAGATGGCGCGCGCCTTTTATTAATGTATATAATTTTTTTATCCAGCCCGCAGCACAGCCGATACATATGTATCGAAACGGCAACGCTGGTAGTAATCAGTTCGTACACTTTCCACTCATCACTTGTCTGGACGACTGGGACGCAGACGTGTACCACAATCTTATCTTCTGCGAAGCTACAATCACAAATCGGTAACTGGTAATATCGCGAGAGATCACTGATCGGTATCGCTGGGGCCTGGTCAAACTTTTGTAGTTCGTCCGTCAACTTCATCAGGTCATGGCGAAGGACATTCGATTTAATCACCGTGATCGGGATTTGGTGCTGTCTACAAGATGCGAGGATTGACTGTCTATTAATAGCCCTCGTTTGAGCTATTAGTTTCTTCTGGAAATCATACTGCACTTCCAGTAGGTCGACCACTACATTTTGCCACTCGTTTTTCGACCTTTCTACCACGTTCCTGAAGTCGTTAAGTTGTCTGTCCAAATCCTTGATGTGCCCCTGGGTTTGGTCAAATGCCTTTTCAATGCCCTTTTGATATTCTGCGAATTACTCTGAATTCCTGAATATCTGGTTTAGGGTCGCGGATAGCATCTGCTTAATCCTCGCTACCCGATTGGTCAATTGGTTTTCGTCCATAACTAGCGAGTCCAATTTGTGTTGAGTGGCCACCCCGCAGCACTAAGCCAAACCGTCGCCCAAAAAACTTAGAGCACGTCTATTTCTTAGATGATACTGGGTCTTTGTTTGATTTTTCATGAATTTAGGACTCCAGCTTTCCTGTAGGTTCTGAAACTCCCGGTAATGTGCTTGTTGCAGCTGGCTTAGTCCTGTCAGAATGTCGCACTCTCTGGATTTCCCTGATTTTTTACTGCATGTGGGGGGCTGTTTCGATGGATCGACTTCCCCCGGTTCGTACCACTGTGACACGTATACGAGGGGTATGGTAGATTCGTATGCCACCACGTCCGGTAGCGTTCTCCAAAATGCCCAAAATGCGTTGTTACCTCTAATTGTCTACTTCCAACTTTCCGGGCGCATGTCCATATGCAAATTACTAGTAGGCCTTTCATGTTTTCAGGTTAGTGGGAATCGATGGCTGGGGTTTAAGGGATGTGCATGTGTAGGCAGGGACTGGGTAGGATACACGCATATCGAGGTGATGCCCACCCGTTGGGGTGGAGTCTGTCCTATTGTTCCTCGCCCTCTTCTGCTAAATCTTCGTTGTCTTCGAGTTGCGCGTCCGGAGTCCATGGGTCGTCGTACGGCAAAACTCGACTGACGTGGACCACCTCCTGTGCGCAGTTTTTATGTTGACCCTTCCGTACGCGATAATTCACTTCTTCTATTTTCTCCATAATATAATATGGTCCGAACCACCGTAGCATTAGTTTTTCGCTTCTTTCGACTTGCCGTACTGGGGTGAAAACCTTTACTTGATCCCCTGCCTTGAACTCCAATGTCCGATGACAAGCGTCGTGTCGTTGTTTATCCTTTTATTGTTTCTTATTGATGGCCTGAATCGCTTGATTTCTAACCGCCAATGCTCTATCCCGCATCCGCATGACGTCCAGATTCGTGGTCGGTGTAAGGAGGCTGGCCTCCGTTGGTAATGTTGGTTATCGTCCGTAAACCAACATGAATGGTGAGAAATTAGTCGTGTCTTGTTTCGCTGTATTGTAAGCGAACGTAACTAATTTGAGGTATTAGTCCCAGTCCGTATGTTCTTTGTTCGTGTATTTTGCTAGCATGTCTGCCAGCGTTTTGTTGAACCGTTCCGTCAATCCGTTGGCTTGAGGGTGGTATGTCGTCGTGAAAGTACTTGTCGTCCCCATTAATTTCAACAATTGTGTCACTAGATCCGACCTAAAGTGTGCCTTTGCATTTGGAAGTACTTGTGTCTCTACCCACCTTGTGGCGTAATCTGTTGCCATCACGATGACCGTTTTGCCATTTCGGCTCCTGTGGAATGGTCCTAGGATGTCAATTCCCACCAGTAGTTAGTATATGGTTGCTGACCTTGAAAGACCGGTTGCTCATTTTGCTCCGCACTTGCGCCTCCATATATATGCATTGTAAATGACCCTCAAGGTCAAAACCGGTTCCTCATTTCCCCCCCCCCCCCCCCACTTGCATTCTTAATACATGTAGTGTAAATGACCCTCAATTTTGGAAATCCATTCTAAAACAATACCATAAATATTCAATTATTATTATTTGTTTTAACGACTTACCTGATTGACACCGGTTAGATTTGTTGCGTCATTATAAAACTATCGGGTTTTGTAGCATCATAAATTTTATTGTTATTAGCAACTGCTTTTCTCTTAGTAACACAATCTATCTAACAAAATTCTGAAAGCAGAATCCTCTGAGAGCTCTAAAAGTTTTAGCTTACTCATTGTGTTCGTCTACAGCAACATCCAACAATTTACCATAGATTTCAACAATTTTCATAGTCATCTACGATAAAATATACATACACTGTGTTATTTATAAGATGCGACATAGGGATTCCTGTACAAATGTGCCAAAAGAAAGCTAACTTTTTTACCAAATAACTTTCGTAAAAAATAATAACAGATTTGAAAAGATCGTAAAAAAATATGTCGAAATGGACATTACATTTTCTTAAATTCGTTCTGGTTTATTAAAAAAATGTATAATTAAGTTGAAAAGGTCATACGCCATAAATAATTCCTTTTTATAACACTATCTCATTTGTTGTAAAAGGGGCAGAGCTAACAGAGATGGTTAACGCTTAGCAATTTGAAAAAATAATCTTGAAGTAATGTGGTTCAAACCGCGCTTGGGTCAAAGTTTTTTTTTGGTTTATTTAATGTTTTTGTCTAAAAAAATGTTAATAAAAGTATTTAAAATAAGACAAGCTTATTTAGGACATACATTTATTTTTATTTAATTAAATGTTCAAATTGTTTTCCATTTTCTGCTAAACAGTCCCAAACAATGATAGAAGTTCCGCCGTACATTATTAATTACGATGAGTTCTACTAATTTTTTGACATTCGTTAGTAATAATATTTTTCAATTCCTCTTCTGTCTTTGGTTAATATTCAGCAACCTTATTTTTTAGGAAACCCAATAAAAAATTGTCTGAACATTGTCATAAGATTTGTTTATCACAATAAATCGAGAAATGTTCAGTATGGCTTATGTCTGGTGTTGTATCAAGAATGATTGAATAATATTTTGAAGAGTGGAGCATTTCTAAAATCTTTTTCTTAATAGCATCACTTATAATGCTAATTATTTCGTTTTGAATCTGATCACCTAAATAATGACTAATATTCTTTTTCTCAGACGTTTGAACGCGATGTAAATGTTCAGACATTATTGGATCGAATTTAGCTATGGTTTCTATTAATTGCAAAAAGTTTCCGTTGTCGTTTTGAAAAAGATTTTTAGATGAACCTCTAAATGCCAAGCATTGTCTTTATAAATACTGTATTATATAAATAATTCGTTCCACGACCGATCGCCAATATTTTTTTTCGGTTTCGTAGAGTCGTTGTT